CAAAGCACCATGGTGTTTTAATCTTTTTCTTAAAAATGCACATGTATCGGGTTTTAGGATTGATGAAGATCAGTATGATCTATGATACAGCACATTCATCACAGCTCCACACTACCCGGAGAACTACTGAAAACCTATGAACACTAGAAGGCCGTTTCGTCCTAGTTGGGATTTCTCAGTAGTGCTCACCTATGACTCCACACCACCAGGAATAGAATCCAGGATCTTCGGGTTTCACAACCGGCACGTGACGATTTAGCCACTGAATTAGACTTTAATGGTCCACATTTTTCTCCTTCTGTCAATCCAGTATGCATACCAGCCTGAAATCAAGATATTCCAGCAGATCACCAAATTGAACTACATCCTGATGTTCGTCCTAGTACGGGACTCCTCAGCAGTACGCATACACCACCCGGCTAGGGATCGAACTCAGGACCTTCAAGTTTCACGGTGAAGGCGTTAACCATTCACAATTTCCAACTTCTGTCAATTCACGACATAGCGCGACTGTCACCCAAGGTCTTCAGTTAGCATCCACTTCACATCCGACTGGCTGACCCCACAGGTCAAGGCTTCTCATTAGAGCTTCCTGATATCATTCTGGAAGCAAGTCACTAATGAGCACTACACAGTAATGTATTTTGGAGATGAATGGGGATTTTTCAATTTAGAAGTAGTGCTCCCAGATTTTCAATGGTTCCCCGACTGATGTCAGTCCATGATGAATACTACTTCTGAAATCATTTTCTTAGCTGTACATTTATCAGTATATAGTAGAAAGGACAGAGTATTCTAGAGTAATTTCCTGTCAAAAGTCAAAGGAAATTGTATGACAGAGCAGTGTCTAATCTAAAATGGGGGAATAAATAAATGATAATAAATCTCCACAAACCTCCAGATAGAATTAATCTAGTTCTCATTGGCGACTAGCTTCGAGAGGTGATTCCCGAAGTTCCAGTGAGAAGTCATGACCAATGGGGTCAACCAAGTCGAATATGAGAACAATTACTCAACGATGACATTGTATTTAGGTCACGCTATATCGTGAACTGGCAGACGTAGAAAATATGAACTACTGTTTTCCGACCCAGTGGCTCAATGGTAACATGGTGGCCACGGAACATGATGGTCCTGGGTTCGGTCCCTGGCGTGGCGAGTTCATAGATGGACAGTGATGAAAAACCCCTGTATTAGGAGGAAACAGTTGCCTAGTGCTTCCAAGTTTCTAATGTTCCTCCAACTGATATCATTTCATGATGAATTCCAACCTAAAATCAATTAATAGATCTTCACAAACCTCTAGATGAAATAAAACATTTTTACATCACAAGGGAGTTAGTTATCTAATGTGTTCGATCCTTCACGCTAGCTATCAGGAAGAATTATACTTTTTCTGAACATATGATAATGGCTTTAACCTTTGAATTGCCAGTGCTTCAAGCATGCACAGGTGCACTAACCGTAATCACTTCGAGTGTCTTGGTTGCACTTTGTACAGAATTTTGAAGGACTTATCAAGAGGCGTCAAGTGTTTTTAGCTTACTAGGTGTTGTTTTATAGAGCTGAATATGCATTTCCATTTGAAAGGGGGTGAGGTTAAGAGGTCCGAGCATAGCTGAAGCACTAGCAGTTCAAAAGTTCAAACCGTCATTGTCTGTTCAAAAGAAGTATGTACAACCTCTTTCCTTGCCATAGCCATTCGTAAGGAATGGTTACACTAGATAACTAGAATACGATGTAATTTTATCTTATTTTATTTTATAATCAATTTTTTCATTTCCCTGTAACAAGCCTGGAAAAGACGACCTTGTCAAAAATAATCAGAGAGCTTCATATCTACAAAAGATACATAGATGATAACTTTATTATTTGTGACGAGTATATGAATCCCGAAAACCTGCTTCAGACCTTCGTTAGTGTTCATCCCTTTATCGAATCTACCACAGAAGCGGAGTTGAACTGGAAATTAGACTTTTTGACGTATAACTTCAAAGGGAAGATGGGAATTAAGTCCAGAGATCTATCCACAGAAAGCCCACTTAGAATGGCCAGTTTATTCATTTCCAAAACTGTTTCCTCTCAGACAGAAAGACAAATTTTATCAGTTAACTCTCCTCAATAATACTAAAAATATCCGTGGATGATACCATCCATGGAGAACTTAAAAACTTGTGAGAAGTCGTGGTGAAAAACAGATGCCCACTAAAATTTATAGATAAGAATGTAAAGCCGAAAAACGCCACGGAAAGTGTCCATACTGCTCTGAAAAATATTTTCCTGCTGAACATCAGATTCAAGGGAGATAATGTGGCAGATATACTTAGAACGAGACCATCAAGAGCCATGAACAGAACATTCTTTATCGCCAATCTTAGAATCATATTCTGCTGTCAGAAACTCATTTGTCAACACACAGAGGACAACCTGGAGCACTGGGCCACATCAGTGTGTTTATAAAAGTTTACTTGCTCCTGTGGAGCCGGGTACATTGGCCGTACCATGCGCCAGTTTTTGCGATGCGCTCGTGAACATTATCCAAATCGACTGACAAAGGGAGAACGAAAGTGAATCCTCAGCTCTGTAACAGAACACTTATTAAACTCGGGATATTTGGCTGCTTATGATAAGTCTTTCAAAATTTTGTGCAAAGTGCCACCAAGCTACTGGAAAGGAGTGAGGCTAAGACATCTGAGCATAGCTGAAGCATTAGCGATTCAAAAGTTCAAACCATCATTATGCGTTCCTTTGTCATGACCATCGTGGATTATTAATCACTCTAGACTAGCCAAATATGACGTAATTCTCTTTATTTCGTAATGATTTTGTCTTTTTCTTCATTATATAATTTTCCTTTGTGACGCAATTTGTATTGACCTTTGGCCGGAAATTACTCTGCGATATTCTATTCTTTCTAGTATATATTCACGAATGTAACTTCGTCGGAGGAAGATTTTTTCGTCTTCGATGGTCTTTTCTCTTAACCTATAGGCAAAATCTCTTAGTTGTTTGAATCTGTAATTTACAAGATTTTAGTTTGAGTCCAGTTGCAACTTAATAAATTTCTGTAGCTTCACTTACAACCTTCCCTTTAATGAGGAATCGATCAACAAAGCAAATAACTTGCATATCTGAAGAGCGACAACGAAACTCTTCAAATCGTACTTACACATGAAACTTCCAACAAGAAGTCTCTCGTCTAAAGTTCATTCAGTTTGCATTGATTTGTTTCATGGTGATTTGACAGATCACAATGTCTTATTAGGTGGTGGATGATAAGATTAAATTTGTATTGTATATGCATATACGTCATAACAAAACAGACTCAGTCTCTTCTAAATTTGCACATGCATCCATGGTGAGGTCATGGGTGCGCACCGCTGAGTTATCTCGTACTAGCATGAAACGGCTGTCCAGTGCTCGCACATTGCCAGTGTTCCTCCAACTGATGTCAGTCCACGATGAATACCAACCTGAAAAAACATTATTTCTAGTTAGTGTGAAGTCGGTGAGAGTTGGCTGTACTTGGTGACTGAATGAGTAGTGGAAAACTAAGTACGTGGATTATCTGGTTTGACTGAAAAAGCTTAACCCGGGTGTCAGCACTAACAAGATTTTGAATATGGGACTATGTGTAGACTTTTCTGAAGTAAAACGTGTTTCTCATCTGTAAGTTTTGAACAAGATATGAAGGCTTGCCTTTGCAAGAATCAACTAGCTCAGATAATCAGGGGCGGAGAGCTATAAACAAGATTGGGTGTGGTAAGACTGTTTATCACTCCAACTGTCCAACTTGACACACACCAGCATGTTGGTATGCATTTTGACTGTGGTAAACATAACAAATTTGAAGTGTTAGTAATATTAACAAATAAAAATAGGATAAAGATTTTGAAGAAATGTGATATGGTTACTACTAATATTACGACGAGGTGTGAATATTTCTTTGTTATTAAGTTCTCTTCAAAGCTGGAGGTTGCAGAGTTTTGAATTATCGAGTTACGCTACATACTTTAGGCTAACAACTGGAAACTTCATGGCAAGATAACTACTCAGTAGCCTTGTGTACATTCATACAGCAGGCAGTGAGCCATATCTGTTGTGTGAAGGCTAATAATACTACGTCACACTTCGCAAACCTTAGCAGACATAGCGGTGTTTGAACTCGGACGCAGTGAGCCACAGGTCCAACACAGACCGTATGGAAAATAATTAGTTTTTTCCCCAACTTAATTATACTTCAGCTAACATTACATTTTGAGTAGACGGTTAGTTATAATGTTTAAAGTATAAACCCCGTAGCCTTGTAGAAAACCAGTTCCAGTAAGACAACTCATAACACCACAAAGTAAACATATTGTGTGATACCTAATGATACCATCTGACAATCCGGTCCCTTTTAAGCGTAATAGCGTTCAAAGGTATCCCCAACTAGTCGGAGACTAAGCATCTAGGTAGATAAATCATAACCCCACTTGACGACTATAACAGACTACAGATAGACAAGAACAGATTTAAATTTCAATAGTTACGATCTATATTTCGAAAAAAAATCGTATTTTTACATTCAGTTATCAGGTGTTAACTTGAAGGTGAGTAGATCACAAGAAATCATCAATTAGTTGAATTCACCTTACTCTGTTGATCTTTTCTCTTCATTTAAGTTCAATAAAATAAAATATACACAATATGCACATTAACATATCAAATTGGAACATATTAGACAAACAGGCTGTTTATTCAAGATCAACTTCAGTATGTGTGCGTGTTTGTGACTATGTAATCCCTGAGATGCATTTATGCATTAATAAGTAGTATATACAATCAGGCAATATAGACGTAGTGTATTCACAATGAGTATAATAACTATATAACTTGATATCACAGTACACTTTACAGGATTAATAATATATCTGTTGTTAGTAGGATATAACTTAGAATAGTTTTGAATTCTTCTATCTATTCACAAAATGTTAATTAAGTAGTATCATCACATTGGTTTATATAATTCCAGTAATTAACGGTCGAGAATTCGATGAATTCGGTAGACAAATGCAAATATCTCGTCCACAATCATCATTCATCTCATCATAATCCATTTTATGAGTTATTTGTTTTAATGAAGTGTTTGAACGTAATGTTTCCGTTGATGAAATTGGATTACTATCTGAATTACGCATTTCAGCTTGCTGTACAATTAATCGACATTTATTCATTGATGAATAGGATTCTTCATACATTGTAGTATCATCAGCGTCATCATCATCATCATCATTTCTTCTTCGTATTCATCATTATCATCTCCGTTAATTGTGCTGTTCTGTAGATTTACTATACTATTTTCAGTAGAAGAATGATACATCATATTGATAGGTTCATTGTAATGTAAATGTCTTTCATCAGTTGTACTGCTCTCGTGTTGAAAATTAGATGAAACCTGGTTTTCACATGTCCATGCGGATAGTTTGGTATCAAATACTCTTTTACTACTTGATACTGAGGAGTCATCTGAGACACAATCATAAATTCGTTTACATTTCTGTTCATCATGTCTTATTGAACACATAGTAGAAACATCTGAACATGTATTTGTTGAATGAGAAGTTAGAGTAGTTGGACACGAAATGTTTGAAAGATTGCATTGTTGCCCATTGTCTGAATGACTATTTACAAGTTTTTCTGATGTTGAAGTATTTTGTAGACTAATCGGTTCACTATCTGTCTGGGTAGAATTCAAAGCTTGTTGACTTAATAAAATGGATCTTGCTTTTTGGCAATTTTTAATATCACCATAATCCTGTATAGTCGATTACTTGGTGAAAAAGTACTTGATGTTCTTCTTGAAGGTGACTGCTGTATCGATTCCAAAGGAGTTGTTCTCACTGATGAATCAGTCAACAAAGTACTATTCTTGTTCTCTGTTGTTCTCATAGATGGTCCTACTGAGGATTGTAAAGTATTTTGAAAATTTCTTAATTTGTTAATTGAAACTTCCATGATAAGTTTGAGAGCTGAAGAAGTTAATTCACTGTATGAAGAATCTGTACTTGATAAATTCATTCTGTTGAATTTTTTATCGATTTTTAAAAAGGATCGTAGTAGAGTGAATGTATTTATTTATTTATTTTCTGTTTGTTTTCAATAAAATCTCGTTGGTGTAAAGATTGCTTTTATTTTCAGAATAAGATAATGGACACTTTTCTCATTAGTTTTTATAAAAAAGTTAAACCAATGAAATTCACTACTTTTGTTTTTAAAAAATTAATTAATCACATATGGTTGGTGGTTAAATTAACTTGATATCACTCAAAAATGTTTACAGCATAACAATCATTCAAATGATAACAGTGATAATTAACCTTAAAATGTTGTAGGCCAAGACACAATTATGCTACGTGGGCGTATACGAATTTACAAATTTTCATTGTAACGTGAAAGTAGTCGCCTAAACCAATAGCTGATTGAAGTTAATTGATGCAAATTATTCGATTATAATTGGCCAATCTAAAATCAGCAATTTTACCTATCGATTAGTATTCGCCCACTCGTCATTTGGATACACGCCCTCGGACTCTGATAGATATGGTATTTGTTAGCAGTTCACTTTCTGTTTACGCAGGTATTTCCTTGTTCTCTGGCTAGCTAGTGATTACTTTTGTAGTACGTACACATCACTAATTTATGAGACAAGATTTCGAAATAAGAGTTCGAAATCCCGGTAGAATTGAAGTCATATTGAGATTGCAGAATTGACTCTAAAGGCTACCCTACCAACAACTGAAATAGTCAGTTAAAGTTCTTTATTTCATGAAATTTGCCATTGCACCCAAAACGACGAGACCTAATTGGTTACTTCGATCGTTGCTAGGGTGGCCTTTAAAGTCGTCCAGCTTGCGTCACTCTCTCAGTGACCTTGTATTGTCTGTAGTACTGTAGAACCAACGAATATATGGTTTAGATTTGTCAAATTTGAGAAAGAATTGAGTTTCACATGATAATTTTTGCGCTAGTTGTGCAGTTTGCTCGAAGTTGAATGAGTCTGAAACACCAAAAATTATAGTTTAAATAGTTTATCAACGAGCTTTCCAGCCTAATGCTAAAACCTAACCCTAACTTTACCCCCCCCCCCCCCACACACACACACGGTAATTCATAGAACAGTAAAAAGCAACTGGTTGTGTCCTGTTTTCAGCGCTAGAAAGATGTGCTCCTTGACTTTTTGCAAGTGACTCTAGAGGTCACCCAGGCAACTATTGAAATAGTCAATTACATTCGTGTACTTTATAAAATGTGATTGTTTCAACTGGGATAACGAAATTCATTTCGTTTTTTTGATTCTAGCTAAAGTGGCCTTTGGAGTCACCCGATTTTTGGTGTTTTGCTTCATAATTCCTAATAATTGGAACCTCAACAGCTAAATTTTAGCTTTTCAAATCCGATTTGTAGGCCGTCGTGACTATTCCTGATGTTTCGGACTTCAGCTACTAATTTCCAATTCATTTAATGGTTTTAAGTCTCTGGTCATGATCACAAATATCATCTTTCTCCATAAAAAGTAGATTATTTTATAAATAAAGAAGAATAAGGAGTTTTTTTTACCTGTAGCTCGCTTCATAGGAACAAGTAAATCTATAAACATACGTTGAATTAACCTAAAGTGATAGCCTGTTCTTAGCATATTCTAAAGCCATTTGTTGACTAGAGAAGTTGATCTTTAGCTTGACAGAGAACAATGTCTTCCTTAGTCGTTTGGACAGCAAGAGATCTACTGCCGTATTAACCATCACATTTTGCATTTATCAATAACCTTCACTTTGTCAAACTCTTTGCCCTTCTCGTTATTCACACTGGCTAGAAGATTATTATGCAACTTTTTTCCAGTATTGGTTCCAGTTTCTAGCACTTCCTGACCTAGTAATGAAACTATAACCTATTGTTTAACAATAGTCTGTTATGTGTTTGTAATATATATAAACGTGATGCTAGAAAATACGAAGGTACATGAGCAGTGCACTTACTTGTTTTCTTGCTTTGCATCAACATTCTTTTGTTTCTTCCAAAAAATTTTTTACTTCGCCTCTCACATTGTGCAGATGAGACTAAATACTAGTGGGTTATGATACTTTTAAGTTCCCTTCTGACAAATTTCTAGGGAAACTGAAGTCCACAATTAATCATCACATGCTTGTACTTTTGATGTTGTGTACTGACTTAACACCAACACCCAGCATTGTTTACACTGACTTTTTTGGAAAGTAATACATCTTATTGTGTATTCCTGTAGTCCACTTTGGATTGTACACGTGTAGAACTTAAAAATGTGTCATAGTGTCTCAAATTCTTTTTAGAAGACTTAAGAATGTAGCTCATATCTTTAGTGTTCTCTGGAAATCCAAGTTGACTATATAACTACAACTGTGACGCTTTTGAAATCTTAGTTATCTAATTTCTAGATTTCATGGTCTTTCCTTATGAATCACAACCGTTCATCAATTGTCTTTTACTATGAAGTGTGAATAGATTGTGTATGCTTTCAGAGTCGTCAGCTCATGTTTTTCTTTCCTTTTTCCCATGATTCAAGATTCCTCTGGTTCACCGCCACACGTACTGGCAGTAGTTTACGCCCTATCCAGCAACAGTGTACTCACAGACTACACGAAAACCTATCAGCGGGTGGCCACATCGCACAATTGCTGATATATTTACATTAGTTTTTCATGAAATCAATATTTTGATATACAACTGTATGATTTAATCGTATCATCATAGACCAGTTTCTATGGAAGGGCTGTTTCGCTTCAATGCTAAACCAGTTGAAGGCCTAAAATGTTACTTTCGATTAAAAACTAATCTATGAATTACTCAGTAATTCAAAAACACAAATTAATTCAGCGAAGATAATTTTCTTTTCGATAAATCATTTTTAGCAGGTGTACAATCATATTTATAGTAATAACAAATAAACAAATGAGTCTATTAATGGTTAGTAGGTCAACATTAGTTCATCAAAACGGAATTTTCTTGGGTGGAATAGAAAATCGATTCTAGAGTCAGAAAAAGAATGAATAATTGTAGTGCGTATAAGGAAAACATGCTGTAGATTACCGCGATGAATAGGTTAAAAAATAAACACATTTAAAATAATCTTAATAATAATAGTACCAATTATAGACAATAATCGGAGTAAAGTGCTGTGAGAATTCTAGTGGAAGCAATCAAAAAATCATTCTATGCTACCGAACTAACCTCGCCTGGTTAACTAGTTCACTAGTCACTAGCTGGTTATAAGCCCAGATAAAGAGGGAAGGTTGAGCGTAGGGCTAGCAACCCTACCCCGGAAAACAAATATAACCGCTAAACAAACTTCAAAGAGCAAGCAAAACATAAAAAATAATAACAAAATTATTCCTCACTGGAATCAGAGAGACAAAATGATGCCGGTTGGTGAAAGCCTGCCTTCGGGAAGCCAATTGGCCGATGTATCACCTCTCTCTCGATGAAAGCGAAAATAAGAATGGGGACATGGAATATCCGCACTGTTTTTGAACCTAGCAAGGCAGCCTGGATTGCAAACGAGATGAGCAGGTATAGCATTGAAGTGCTAGGAATTAGCGAAAGCAGATGGAATGGGAGTGGACTCTCCAAACTGTCAACTGGAGAGGAGTCAATAATCTACTCGAGTGACTCAGACGACAACCACGAGCACAGCATACTGAGTTTTGTAGTGCTATCATGATGTCCCCAGGAGAATCGAAGGCTCTCATGCAGTGGGAACCAATCTCCTCCTACAGGATCAGGATCATGAGAGCAGGTTTCAACTCAAAAGGAAGGAAAGTTACAATCATGCAATGATAAGTACGCACCTACGAATAATGCAGAGCAAGAGAAAAAGGAGGAATTCTACAAACAACTGCAGTCAACACTGAACAAGACCTCAGTTGGCAACATCGAAATTCTAATGCCTGACATGTTTCAATGCCAAACTGGGAGCGGGAAACAAAGGAAGAGAACAAACCATGGACCGAGAAGCACTCAGTGAAATGAAGGAGAATGGAGAATTGTTTGCAGAATTCTGTGCATTCAACGATTTGGTGATTGGAGGTGAGGCAGTGTGTGTGTTCAAGCACAAGGATATCCACAAAGCGACATAGATTTGATTTCACCAGACACCAGGACACACTAAAAATCAGATCGACTTTATCTCATGTGAAGAAAGTGGAGACGCAGCCAGCCTGCTTGACACAAGACCAAGAAGGGGAGCAGATGTAGGTTCACACCACTCACTATCTAGTGCAGACAACCTTCCAAATCAAGTTGAAAGCCTTCAAGGCAGTTGGTGATAGACCAGAGTTCAAGTCCACGTTGAACACGCAGAACAGAGAGTGCACTGAAGGACGAAACTAAGAAGGACATGCTGACATCAGCCAGTCATCAGGACAAAATGGGAGAGAGATATCGAGGAACATCTGTGAAGAAACCTGTGTGGATGAACACTGGAAGTCTTTGAAAGGTATATAGAAAGAAAGCTGCATAATCGTATTGGGAAGGAAGAGGAAATAGGACAAAGAATGGATCTCGATGAACACATGGGAGCTGATAGAGGAGGGAGAAGAAGATGGTGATGGTGAAGCAGAAGATGAACCAGTGCAGTGCAGTGCAGTGCAGCGATGAACAACGAGAAGAGGAACTGAGTACAATGTATAAAACAGTACACGTTACAAAGAAGTGAAGAAGAGTGTGTGGAAAGACAAAAGACACTTGGATGACACACTGGTGAGTGAGGGAGAACAGGCTGCTGATAGGAGAGACACAGAGAGATCTGACAACATTGTATCAAATAACCGAGTTACTATCTGGGAGAGAAGAGATCAATACAGATGAAAACAACAAAAGATGATGAAGGAAATTTAATTGCCAGAAAAGAGAAACAAAGGAAACGATGGGCCGACCACTTCAAGAAGCTGTTGGATCGACCACCATCTGCACTTCGTCCTAATATACCACCTGCATTGCAGCGACAGAATTACAAGTGAACACAAGCCCTCCAACAAAAGTGGAAG